ATCAAATATATATTAGGCGTAGCTGTGGACATTTTCGTTGGTATAGGATGAGAAGAAATGTCGGAAAAGAAGACACGAATCTATGTGCAGTGTCAATATTCCCAGACGCATCGATAGACCAGATTTAGCCGACAATATTCCCTGGGTATTTGGGTCATCAACTTTCATTTCATTCTGATGTAAAATCATCTTCGATTGACTGTGCTACATTTGTATTCACTCTGGCATAGGAATTCATTGTTTGTTCTCTGCTGTTCTCGCGACCTTCTTATCCCAGGGAATTATTAATACGACCGAATGATATTTATTCTTCTTCTGTTATCCAACTCAAATTGTGATGCTCGAACTGGATTTTCTGTTCAGAGGAAGAAACGCAAGCGTGCTGGGTGGCTCTTGCGCATATTCCTCCTGTGAAGATGACGGTTCCTTCATTAGTCAGTTCCAACATTCGCTCACTGTTTAGCAAATTGGCTGACTTCATTGATCTACTAGCTTATCGCCTGTACACAAACACGTGTGATATGCATAAAGGAATAGCGGTTAAACCAAAACATAGATGATTTGCTGATCGACATACCTGGTTTTGCAAGTTTTCGACAAGACAGAGAAAGTTAAAAGAGGTCGGGATAAGGAATAATAACCAACATTAACTCCAGTTGGTGCGGTAAGTCCGAAACGTTTGTTTTCTCCTGTTATGGTATTCAATGTCTAATTGTGTCATGAGAACCAAGATTTCCGCTTATCGCAGCACAATCAATACAATCTATAAATTACCCCTTCTTGCTCATCAATCGAAATTAGCTCTGTAGAATAAATTCTGCCCATATTGACACTCTTCACACACATACACCCAGCACCACCATCCTGTTGTCCATTGTCTTCCCTTTGACCGTGTAATGTTGATTTCATCCCCTTATTGATCCGTGCCTATGACTGTTCTCCACGCCGTTTGCACATACGCACGCACTATTAGTATGTCTGCCCCATTACGTTGACCTCTGTCGGTCTCACCCGTCCCATCGATCCGTGCCCATGATCGACTGACTCTGACACTTTGTACACACACGCACGTACACACCTACACCGATTCATTGCACTGTCCCGTCACGACGGGCCCTGATGACACATTTACACCCACT